ACTCCTCCTCTCTCTCTCTCTCTCTCTCTCTCTCTCTCTCTACGCAATGCTTTAAAGCTATCAAACAAGACAAGCTAGGGTCTGCCTCAATATCGATCCATATCGTCGTTTCTCTCTGCCACACTTATTTAACGATGGTTCGCCTGCAATGTCGGTATTGCATAGCTGCAAAGCCGGAGATGTGGCTATTGTATCTATTCCACGCTGGAACTTCGTGTATTATCAGCGTTACGTGACACATAATACTCAAGTATGATATGATTAGGCTAGTTACTGTAAAAAAAAAGAAGAGCGAAAAGCATGAAGTTAATGCGTGATAAATATTCAAAGGATATATTTTCTTTTGCGATATATGTGTATAGTAGTCGTATAGTAACAATTGTTTTACTTCGGGGAAAAAAAAACAAATATATTTTATTTTCATATTTTATTTCCTGACAAATAAACACTTTCATGAAATTTATTTATCTATTGGTTCAAAATTGTGAAAAAGCTATTATTTTTACACATTTGTTAATGCGACAGCATATTATTTTCAGGCTGGTCGACGACAGATGTGTCGTATGTCCTGAAGCTGGAGATTTGTCAAATCCACCAAAGAAATTCAGAGGTATTATATTATTTACATTTATTATATTATATTATATTATATTATATACATTTTATTTATATTTTTTAATTATTTTTAAATAGATGGTTTTTTGCTTGTTGATTTATTTTTCCTTTTCAATTAAATCAACAGTAAATAGTACAGTTAAGCATAGTAACAGTTAATATATTAATTTTTATTAGCAATTTTTCCATTAATTAATTTAATTTTTTAAATGTTATTGCAAAAAAATGAAAGTGAACGATGTTAAGATATTTCGTCGAGCGATAGCAATCGTTAACTTTTTTAGATTGCCTCTTCAAAATATGTCCTATGAATCGGTATTCCGCCCAAAAGCAATTCTGGAAAGCAGCGAAACAGAGTGCGAGTTCAGGCACAGATGCTATCTTGCTCAAAAGACTTCACGTGAGTTGCAAAAAGGCTACACTATTTAATTTATTTTATAAATATTCGTACACATTATTTTATATATCCCGTCATTGGAAATGGCATACCTCTTAATGACGATGCATCTGAATAAATGAATAATGTAATAATCTACATGAAGTATTCATAAATACATACGGGGATATCTAACCGGTTTTTCAGATTGTGACTGGTTTAGTGATTATTTAATCGAATTTGCTATTATGTATGAAGCGTATTGTTTTTCCAGTTTTTTAATGTTTCAGACTGAAACATAAAAAATTCAATAAAATTCAATAAAATATTTTAGATGTATCTTGTAACATAAATTATATTTACGATGTATTCATGACAATATGTTCATTTTGAAAAAAATTATTGAAAATTACATTATTTTAAAATGCGTACTTTTAATAAAGTTAAGCATATCTTCCATTTTTTTATGTCATTTAATGGAATTTTTTATCACAGCATGCGGCTGAAATCGAGAAAAAGCAAAATGAGACTGAGAATAAGAAGTTATTGGGCACCGTCGTTTCTTACGGTAATGTTATACAGGTAAGATCAATCTCTTTTTCCTAAAGAAAACTTTCTTGTAAGTGATATTATTTTATTAAAGTACATCTTGAACGTTTTACGCTTGATTGCATATTCTTATAACGTAAAGTGGCTACATGAATAATAATAGATTTATCAATACCGCCAGAGAAGCAGCTTTTCCCTTAACACCTTTTTTCGCAAAGCGGTCATAAAAACTGTTTGATACATCCATCGTATTGACGTAGTTATCTGCCTTGTATAGATAAGTGTTTGCTAATTAACGAGTTTTCCTTCCTCCGCGATACTGTTACCAAGTCGAAAAATAGAAGCGGCGCTGCAACGCTAAGTTTCTAGCAAATAATTGAATTTCTCTTTCGCATTGTAGCATATTGTTGCTAAAAATTATGAAATGGTAGCGCTTTGATCATTGGCGAGTGAAACAACGTCGTGGAATGAACGTTGTACTGCATCTACGATGTATTATAGATTGTACCTTCGATCGCGGAAAGTGGAAATGGACGCTATTAGATGTTCAATTAATTTCTGCTATAACGTATTCTTTATTGAATTATCAATTTATTTATCTTCTGTACACTTTGTTGATGTATTATATAAGTTAATTAATCATCTTTGCACATTATTACGCGATATTCTATCATATCTTTGGAAAATACTATTCATTTGTTATAGCTTTTCTTTTTTAATTCAGAATAATTTATTCTGTAACAAATTCATTTGAGTTACGCAAAACGTAGGTCGTAAAATACAAACGTGTGAATATATAATTATCATAGAGATTAATTTTATCAACATCTCTCTCTCTCTCTCTCTCTCTCTCTCTTCTCTGCGTACATCTATAAATAAATTTATATTTATATGCATAGCGTGTACGAATACAATCGATTCATCATTAATTAATGAAATATTAATAAAATAAAATTTATTTGCGTATTCTTTCGGCAGTTGCTGCACCTCAAGTCTAACAAATACCTGACGGTGAACAAAAGGCTGCCGGCATTGCTGGAGAAAAATGCGATGAGAGTTTACTTAGACGCGAATGGAAATGAGGGTTCATGGCTTTACATAATGCCGTTTTACAAACTGCGAAGCGACGGCGACAGCGTTGTCGTTGGTGATAAAGTTATTTTGGAGCCGGTGAATGCGGGTCGTCAGGGTCTTCACGTGGCCGCTAATTATGAGCTGAGCGACAATCCTGGCTGCAAGGAAGTCAACGTTGTGAATTCTTCCACTTCTTGGAAGATAACTCTTTTCATGGAGCACCGGGAAAACCAAGAAGAGATTCTCAAAGGCGGCGACGTGGTGCGGCTGTTTCATGCCGAACAAGAAAAATTTCTGACCATGGACGAGTACAAGAAAAAGCAACACGTGTTTCTCAGGACAACGGGCAGAACTAGTGCCACCGCGGCTACCAGCAGCAAGGCCTTGTGGGAAGTCGAGGTGATGATCTGATCATAAATAATCTAATCTTAATATAAATTTAGCTATACAGCTGTTATATTCAATATGTAATAATCAAAATCTACTTTAATTTTCAAAATTTTATTATTTGAATTCCTGCAAACCATTTCTACCGATTGTCTTTGATACATTAATTTCTTCTAAGTGATGCTCTTTGTTTATTTTCCAATAAATAGGTAGTGCAACACGATCCGTGCAGAGGCGGTGCCGGCCATTGGAACTCGATTTTCCGATTCAAGCACTTAGCGACTGGTCAATATCTCGCTGCTGAAGTTGACACGGATGAACCACGAGAACTTGTAAAGGGCAAACGCGGTAGGATACTTTGAAATTAAATTTATTTATTCGAAAATATGTATAATATTCTACATTGAATTGTTTATAATTTATTACTTATCATTTATTCTAAAAATGATATTTTGCGAATTTTTTCTTAATCTCTAATGACATAAGGATAAATCAATTGTTTACATGTACGATGGTTGATAGATCCCCCTGGACAAGTCTTCAGATTAGTATCGGTACCGCACAGTGGTGAAATTAGCTCATTATTCGAATTAGATCCCACAACTTTAACACGGGGCGATAGTTTGGTTCCGCAATCATCTTTTGTTAGATTACATCATATATGCACAAATACTTGGGTCCATTCAACAAGCGTACCAATCGATAAAGATGACGAGAAGCCGGTGATGTCGAAGGTACTGTAGCATATTCATGCGATTATGATTCATATGCCGAATGTTGTAAGTGAGATTTACTGATTGAGGAGATACTAATTAAATTATTCACACGTATTTAATTACGTGTTAGGTGGGTTGCGCGACCAGTAAAGAGGATAAAGAGGCCTTTGCCTTGAGATCTGTGTCGCCGGTTGAAGTACGCGATTTAGATTTTGCAAATGATGCCTGTAAAGTATTAACGGCGATGAGCAGTAAGCTGGAAAAGGGCACGATTTCGCACAATGAGCGAAGAGCTGTTACTAGCTTGCTGCAGGATATTGTATATTTTATAGCTGGATTAGAGAACGAGCAGAATAAATCCGAGGCGTTAGAGTTAGTTGTCACGAACGCCGTGAGAGATCGTCAGAAATTATTGCGCGAGCAGTACATTCTTGGCCAGTTGTTCAAAATATTGCAGGTATTTCGACTTGGTATTGATCGCGTAGAAACATCAGCGAGAACGAGAATTTTTCAAAGTTTATTAATTGTAGGCTCCGTTCTTGGAATCTGCGGAAGGTGAGGGACCATTTCTTAGAATAGAGGAGCTTAACGACCCTAGACATGCACCATACAAGTACATGTTTCGTCTGTGTTATCGAATACTCAGGCTCTCTCAACAAGATTATAGGAAAAATCAGGTATCCCAAGAATGCACGATATAACAACTTATTACTATTTATTATTATTATTCATTATATTTTATATCATTTTTTTATCCACATAGGAATATATTGCTAAACATTTTGCGTTTATGCAAAAACAAATTGGCTACGACATTTTAGCGGAAGATACCATTACCGCGCTTTTACATAATAACAGAAAATTGTTGGAAAAACATATAACAGCTGCTGAAATAGAAACATTTGTGGGTCTCGTTAGAAAAAATATGCGTAATTGGCAATCAAGATTTTTAGATTATTTGTCGGATCTGTGTATCTCTAATAAGAAAGCAATCGCCGTAACGCAAGAATTGATTTGTAAAAGTGTACTTAGTGAAAAGAACAAAGATATTCTAATAGGAACAAAGTGAGTATAATAAACAGCGTGAACAGTGTTAATTTCTCTAATATATTTTATTTACATTAGAATAGTGAAGACCCAGGTAGAAGTCGAAGATATCGATGAAAAGCAAGAAAATGCTGAACCAAGGATCACTATTATAGAAGAGTTTGAAGTTGTGTTGGAATGGAATAATGGAGTTGTTAGTATGCTTTGTAAAACTAATTTATAAAAATAGTAATTGTAATTTATATTCGAATTAATAATATTTAATGCAGAATTCAATGTCTTTGAATGAGTTATCAAGAGGAGCTAAAATGGGAAACATTCAAGATGCGGCAATATTAGATTATTACAGGCATCAATTAAACCTATTTAGTAACATGTGTCTGAATAGACAGTATTTAGCACTAAATAACCTGTCATCACATTTGGACATTGATCTTATACTTAAGTATGTTGTATATTTTTCCTTTAAAATTAGAATTATTTTTGAATTATACATGCATAACATTATTTCTTACAGGTGTATGGAAGATGAAACAGTACCATATGAATTACGCGCATCATTTTGCCGACTAATGCTACATCTTCACGTAGATAGAGATCCGCAAGAACAAGTAACTCCTGTAAAATATGCTCGTCTTTGGTCAGAAATCCCATCAAAAATGACCATAAATGAGTATGTAAAGAATAACAATAATAATTCTTATGTCAAGAATATATTTGAAATTTTTTTTGTAATTTTAGTTACGATACGAATAAACTGCCGGACCAAAATAAAGAGGCTGTTCGTACTAAATTTAGTTCGACAATCATGTTTGTTGAAGATTATCTTTGTAATGTCGTTGCCAAAATGTGGTCTTTCGGGGATCAAGAACAGAATAAACTCACATTCGAGGTATACATACATTTTCTTTCTTTTTGTTTATTTCTAAATAATAAACTATAATTAATTTGTTATTTTTATATATTATTTATAGGTTGTTAAATTAGCACGTGATTTAATTTACTTTGGATTCTACAGTTTTAACGATCTGTTAAGTTTAACAAAGACGTTGCTTAGTATTTTGGATTGTGTGTCAGAAAATGATTCCACCGATGGAAAAATACCTACGGGTGATATTGATTGTAAGTTTAATATTTATATTATTTCCATTTGATGAAACATAATCTATGAAATATTTTTTACCGTTTACTAATTAAATTTTAATGAATCCCATAAACAATTTCTAGTAGTGAAATCATTCCATTTATATATATATATCTCTTTCGCGCGCATGGTAGTAATCTCAATGATAATAAAGTTTGACTTTTTTGCATTATATAATGGATGTATTACCGATACGATAAATTTTCCCTCGAGTCCTATTTTTCAATCATTTTCACGAATAGTTTTTACATTCTCAAGCTCATCGCTTTCGGAAACTTGTATATAACGTTCTTTTCTATGATATTGTAATATAGTATATGTTATAATCCATGCTTCGCATTTTATGAAATCCCTTTAATAATAAAATACCTTTATGCAACAATGGTAAATTATATATAACATACATGGTATGGTAAATAATCTTTAAAACTAATTAATTTACTCTTGTAAATATTTTATCACAGCTGATACGGATTCTGAGGAGGCAGGTAATATCCTAATAGAAAGCTTGTTAAAAATTAATTACATTGTAATATATGGAATGAATATTAACAAGATTAAGCATGCAAGCATTATATGTTGTATACAATGTAGATTTACAAAGCTTTTAATTGTTTAAACACTTTTATAAAAATATTTTTTTAGAAATGAGTAT